CCCAAATTCAGCTGTGGAAACCTAATGGCCAATGTATTGTATTTGATACAATTAAGATGTGGTGCCTTTAAGAGGTGATTAGGCTATGAAGGCTGCTCCTCTCAATGGGATCAAGGCTCTTATAAAAGGCTTTCATGGATCTTTTGGCTCTCTTGCCTTTCTACCTGCTGATGTGAGGAAACAGTGTTCCAATCCTCCAAAGGAGGCAACAGTATGGCGCCATTTTGGAAGGACATCGGCCCTCCCCAGACAACTGAACCTGCTGCGGTCTTGACCTTGGATTTCCCACCCTCCAGAACAGTAAGAAAATTTTTTTATAAATTACCCAGTCTGTGGTATTGTTATAGCAACACAGAGTTAAGATACTATTTATATAAAGTTGTAAAAGAGGCAAAATAAATTTATTTTGATAGAAATCTGATTGTTTGCCCGGAGGAGGAGATTAGGGTGTCAGCTTCCAGATGCATAATGAAATTATTTTGGTGTAAAGGAAATGGTTTTTGTTTTGTTTTGAAGACAGGGTTTTGCAATATAGCTCAGGCTGTCAGAGTTTGCTATATAGCTGGCCTGGGACTCATGTCTCAATCCTCTTGCCTCAGCCTGCAAAATGTTGGGGTTACAGATATGCCTCACCAAACCTGATTTGAAATGCTCTAACTATAAACAGGGGTAATAATTTTATGGGTATATGCATTTATCAAACCTCATAGCATTCACTTATGAATGTGTGCAATTTATTATGTAAGAATTACAGCTCAAATAATGGGTGTAGAGAAAACAGTGAACCCAGACAAGTCTTTTTAGAGGGCTTAAGTATAAAGGGGAAACTAAAAATGTGGGAGTAGGGGGAAGAGTGGAGTCAAGAGAATTTTTTTAAAGATAGAAATGATAGCCTATTTGTATTCTAACTGGGGAGAAGAGAAGGAAGATCTGAAAGTTGAAGAAATGATGAACCATATTCAGTGACTGAGGGAGTCCAGCGAGAGGGGCCAACCTTGGTCAGATATACTGGTAATTCAGTCACAAGTGGGAAGGTAGTTTAGGACAATAGCTGTGGAGTGTGTGCCCATATGTCAGTTCTCTGTTTGTTTGGCTCTATTTTCTCAGTGGAATAGAAACCAGGATTTCAGCTGAGAGTAAGAATGAAGTGGGGGAAGGTGTTGGAGTTTTGGGAAGGTATAAAATAGTGAGGAGAGGTAGAGTGTGGACCAGAGAATTAAGGAGCTTTTAGCAGCATATAATCCACTTGAGGTTAAGGATCATGAATTTAAGCCTAAACCAACTGGTGCAGTGTTTTCCTCTAGCCTCATTGAGCTGCACAGCAGTCGTGGATTTGTATTAAAGCAGGATTGTGGTTTAGCTATGAGTACAGAAAAGTGAGAGATTCAAGGGAGTGTTACAGTGATAGGCTATGCAATTTAAGCTGGACAAGGAAGAAAGGTGTGGAACAGTGAAAAACATGAGAAGAATCAAAAGATTTTGGTCTTGGAGAAGCCAAAGGATTGTTAGAATCTCAATACTAAAGAGTGAACTAAGAAGATAGGTATTTAGAATAACCAGCTTAAAGTTAAGCACAAAGGAATTGGGAGTTTTGGATTATGGCCAATTCTAGATGATGGCCGAGTGGCGGAGAGAGGACAATAAACCAAAAGGTGAGACTACAGAGGATTCCTCATAAGACACTGATTTACTGTAAACACGGGAAGCAGCATGGGCAGTGAGTTCTGAGCTATGTGGGGGCTGGGAGATGATGATAAGGTGAAGTGATTGGTGTTACAGTTTTAGTGGAGAGAATTAAAGAGGTTAAGGGGGTAAAAAGGAAGGGGGGAGAATGATTTGAAAGCAAAGAAGGTAGATTAGTATTGGAGAAGACAGTCATTTATGAGGGGAAGGAGTGAACTTGAGAGTGAGCCAGGGACTTTGCATGAAAAGAGGGATCTACAGAACTGCACAGAAATTAGATGAATGGGAGACTTGGCTTTCTGGGGTTATTGATGTGAAGAGTAATAAAAGGCATTATGGATAGCCCAAAACAGTAGTTCCAAGGCAGGAATGCTGGCAAAGGGAGGGAAGGTTCTGCCCGAAGTTTGCTGGGTTCTTGGGTGTCCACATACCACGAAGTGGACGGGATGGCTCTGTAGGCTCACCTGTAGGATCCACTCACTGGATATTTTATATATTTATATCGGATATTTATACCGGAGGATATATATTTAAAATGTATCACAATTATATAACATTATAGACAATGTAGCTAACAGAGGGAAATAATCACTCTAACAAATTGTTTTCAGTATTTTGGTATATGTAGGCTTTTTAAAAAATTGGTCTAATCTCAGGTTACCTTTTTTATTTAACATTGTTACCATTAGCTTTCCCACATTGTCAAGAGTACTTGATTTTAGGGAGTGCATAATATTTCATGAATATGCTATCCTTATTTATTTGCCTCCTTTACTGTTAGATTGTTGACTTCATTTCAAATTGCAATAAACAGGGTGACAGACATCATGCATATTCAGCTACACTCTAGAACTAAATGACTGTGAACTGCTTCACGTTTGCCAAGATGATGAAACGGTATCCAAAAAGTTAATTGGAAAGGTCAAATGAATTATGAAGATATTTAAAAAGTGCTTTGTTTATCTATCATTCTGTGCAGAAAGCTTACTTTAACTTTAGAGCCAGAAGACATTCAAAATCATGAAGTTTTAAAAACAGTGAACCTTGAGCCAGGTGTCGCTGGCTCATGCCTATAACCCTGTCTACTTGGGAGGCTGAGACTGGGAGGACAAATAGTTTGTGAGACTCCAAAATAACCACAGCAAAATGGACTGGAGGTGCGACTCAAGCGGTAGAGCACCTGTTTGCAAGCACAAAGTTGTGAGTTTAACATCCAGTCCCACAAAACAAAAACAGGAGACTCTCCCTCCAAGCCAACAAGACCTCTGTTGCTCTGTAGGAAAGGACTCATTACAAAAAGTCTGGAAAGTTCTATTTGAATTTTTGTTTTGTTTTGTTGACAGGGCTTTGCTATGTAGCCAGGCCAGCCTCCAGTTTGCAAACCTCCTGCCTCAGCCTCCCAAATGCTGGAATTATGGATGTGCACCACCACTCTTGGCTCCAGTTTGCACATTTCTGATTCTATTAGAATTTTTTTAAATGAAATCCATAATCAGTTACAAAGTTTCAGTTTACTAAGACCTTCTACACAGCATTAAATGTTTTAATTTTGATTTTTAAATTTTTCTTTATCCTCTTTTCTTTTTACAATTTTTAAGGGGCTTCATTATACTACTTTCACACATGCATATAATGTACTTTGATCATATTCACTCTACATGTTAAGATTTAGACATCAAGTACGTATCTTTTTAAATTGCAGTTAAGTTTTGGTCAATCCTGTCTTCATAGATGGAGTACCCTAAGTTGTTTAGGTCCACATTTTTCTTTCTTTCCTTTCTTTGTTCCTTCCGTCTTCTATTTTTAAAACAAAGTCCTTATAATAGATTTGCTACTTTTCCTAAGTAGGTTTTCTATACAGATGACAAATCTTACTTAAATTTGTTCCACTTAGAATTTATCTCACTCTTAGTTGTAAGAGGAAACATGAACTACAAGTACTATTATTGTTATTTTTTTTTGGAGGGGGTAGTGGACCTGGGCATCAAACCAAGGGACTTGTGCAAGCTAGGCCAGTGCTCTGCCACTGAGCTACTTCCCTAGCCCTAAATACCATTACTGATTTAACCCATTGCCCTTACAAGCTTAAAAAGGCCAGATAACGACAAATTATGCAATAGGCCAGGTGTTGGAAAATTTTCTGTAAATGGCCAACTAGTAAATATTGTGGGTCATATTTTCTCTATCATAATTATTTAGCTCTGCCATAGTAGTGGAAAAGCAGCTGCAGAAAATATAAATACACAGTACAGCTGTGTTCCAATAGAACTTTATTTACCAAAGCAGGCAACAGGCTGATTTGGTCTCAGGGCTGTACTTTGCCATTCCTATATCAAACAATCCTTGACTCTGCCTTTCATTTCATCACAAGTTGGCTTCCCTGGAAGGATACAGCAAATGTATCCCATTTTAAGTCATTTTTGCAAATGACTTCAGCGTATGTCTGGAACTCTGATAGCAGTTATTCTGGTACACAGAAAATCTGAATACCTGGACATTTTTGATACATGCTACAGCTCAGCAGTTTTAAGTTATAATTTCTGGCACACTGGCAGGAGCTAAGCAGCATATCATCCTGTCTCACTTCCTTCCACTGAATGTTCTTAGTAGTATCATTGTCCCCCTTCCTCCACCTGAAAGCATGATTGCTGAGACTCAAACCAGTGGCTGATGTCAAATCAGTAAGTTCACACAGGACACTTGTTATTCCACTTTAAGAACTGAGGGGTAGAATACTGAAGGATACAGGTGGACCACATCAATTAATATGTAGTAGGCATTAAGAGAACAAATACGTCTGTAAGACCAGGATTCTTCTCTACCTCCAACCGGGATTATTTCAAAAATTAAAGTACTACACGGCTTCATTTAAAGTGTATTTAATTGCAGTTGTAGCTACTTTTCCCCAGCTGAGGAATAGAACTCAGGGCCTTGTGCATGCTAGAGAAGTATTCTGTTCAAATATGCCCACCCATATGCCTTTTAGTACCTTGCTAAATTGCCCAGTCTGGCCTCAAACTTGTGCTCTTCCTGTCTCAGCCTCCTGAGAGTTGGGATAACAGATGCACACCACTCCACCCAGCAGTTGTAGCTATTTACCGAACAATTTTGTGCAATGTATACAGCTTTAAGAGTTCCATTTTCTTGGAACACTTGTTCCAAAGTATTCTCTTCAGAACATGCTGTTCTTCATAGAGATGACTATCATATATCATATTCAGATGAACACCATACATTACAACATAATAATGTTAGCTTTCACAAAGGAAAATAGGAGAAAAATATATTTTCTTAATGGAAATAAAATGAATTGCTATATGTAAATGCTCATCTGCCCTCAGCATGAAAGGACAGCGTATTTATCATTGTCAAGTGCTATGAAGTACTTATTTTTCACAGCAGTTTAATGGCAGAAATTCTGATTGGAGAGCTAACATTTGGATGTTCATGTTCTCATAAAACACTTAGGTACACAAATTAGAAAATCCCAGTGTGGGTAGGCCAACTGAAAAGAACAGATCTAATAACTATGGCTGGGTCAACAGAAGAATGTCAAGGGTCACTGAGTGAAGATTCCATGAAAATGAAGGTTTTAAAGGGAGTAATTTTTCAGAAATACTTCTTTACACAACAGGAAGTATTTTTTACTTAAAAAAAAACCAATAAAAAGATGGGGTTTTGGCCACCTAAAAAATCCACTCCATCTTCCTATGAGCCTCATTTATTTATGATCCTAATCTATTAAATATTTGCACATGAAATCAGTCACAACAAAATTTAAATGAGGAGCCAGTCTTGGTGGTAAGTGCCTGCAGCCCCAGCTACTTGGGAGGCTGAGGTGGGAGGATCACTAAGGGCACCTGGACAACAAAAACTCTCTTCAAACAAACAAAAAATACTTTAAAGATATTATCAGCACTATACATTTTCAGTAATGGTCTGGTGAAAACAAACTGGCTGGTTAATCCAGGGGAAATAAGAGATCATGCTTATGAAGGACTACTATCTTAAAACCATTATTTGAAGGGTTACTTTCCCACTGCTAATGGTCCAGTCTTCTAATAAAAACTAAAAGATAATTTCTTTTTGATAGAGATTTTGTCATTTTGAATCTTTTCTATTGCCACATTCTCACCCATTCCTGCACTAGGGTAAGAATTACTATCCGATGGGGTTGATAACTGTCAAAGTAACCATATGTGGATGTCATGTATTCTTCGGAAGGTGTCCTTGAATGCATCGTGACCGAGATGCTCTTGCCTAACATTTACGCAGTGTTTTCTGTGTGCCAGGCCCCGATCTAAACACTTGAAATTATTAACATAAACGGGTGCATTCATGGAAAGAGAGACAGGTCAAGGAATGACTCAGATTCACTGAAGGTTAAGAGCTAGAGCCGGGGTTAGATCCTAGGCACTGACTGCAGAGCTTCTGCTGTTCACCCTTATGCTAAGCTGCCTGGTCTATGTTTGCTTTTGACAAAGATCCTGATGTTGTTGAACTTCAAATAGGTACACAGCCCTCCTCATTTTCTTAAAATGCATTGTTTTAATCAAATGTATTTAAGACAAGTCTTTCACTGTACAAAGGGCCTTAATGTGTTGAAATACTGTTAATAGCTATTTTGTGCATTTTATTATTTTTCATTTCAAACTTAAGCAATAATTACAAATGACACAATTTTAGAGTGAGATAAGTATATTAGCAGTTACATGTTTAACCTTTGTGCATAAATCTAGTTTGGGAAAGGTAAGTTGTAAGTAAGTAAGTGCAAGTACACATTTATCCCATTATTTAAGAATTTCTATGAAACCTAAAATAAATTTATTGAAATTAGAATTCCTGGGCAATACTGGAACTCTATGGCTAAAGAATATTCATGAAGTGGGAAGAAACTACAAAGTGAGATGTACAGGTATGCTAGACAGGACAGTCAACTAAACTGTCTTCAAATATGATTTGTAGAAGGTGATGCTCTTGCTTTAGTCCCTTATACTTGCTCTCTATTACATCCTGATAATTCAGCCAATAATATACTTAAAAACTATTCCTCTTCAAGAAATCAGCAATAAAATATGTATTTTGTGCTAGTTTAATAAAACATTATCTAAAATGAATTCATTATTGTTTAAAATTTATAGTAAAAAACTTACTAAAAAAACCCAAAAGACTAGCATTGTTCCAGAAATAAGCCAATTTAAATGATTTTCCATATAGCTAAAGTCAAGGGATGGGCTACATTTGGTTAAATCTGGCTAAGTAGACATCTAAGAACAGGATCACTATGAAGCAGTATGATCAGTCTCCCCTGTCCTCAGCTGAACTGCCTTGCACTCCTCCCATGCTGCACTAAGGAGAGTCAAGATGACCAGTTCCACCATCCACACAAAGCCTGCTCCCTCCCTCAGACCCACCTCACCCTCTGGTAAAAACTGCAAGTTAGCTGTGCTCTTATGGCTTGGTCACTGGAGGCCATAAGTCTGAGTTGAATTATTCAAGGTGAGGGTCACAATGAGGGAACGAGGATCTTTTTTATTCTTGTGAACTGTGATCTTTCCTTTCAAGGCTTCACCTGTAAAAGAAAGGCAAAAAAATGTGTGTAAGAATTCAAAGAATACACTCTAGAAGGAATGTAAATAACAATACCTCAAAATTCTTTTCTCCATATTTAAAACGTTTGTTTAAATCAACAGGCTTCATTTTTTAGAGCAGTTTTACGTTTCACTCATTTTTGAATGAAGTAAGAACTATCTGCATAGCACAGGAGTCAAATCCTTTTGAATCCCTCCTCCACACATACACTTTTCTATTTCCTCCAGGGCTTTGCACATGCTAGGCAAGAACTCTGCCACTTAACTGCACTTTAGTCAATTCTCTCTGTGTGTGTGTGTGTGAGAGAGAGAGAGAGAGAGAGAGGAGAGGAGGGAGGGAGGAAGTATAATAATGTGAGTATATGAGAGTGCAAAATCTTAGTGTTATTAAACTACTGAATATGAGGTCCTCTGATATGTACTGGACATATAGAAAAGAGAACAAGTCAAGGCCCTGCCTCAAAGAGTTCACCACCAATTGTGAAAAGTTATACTAACATTTACAGAATAGGCTCATACCTAAAGTGTGCTGGAGATAAGGACTGGGGATGGCTGAAAGGTAAGGGCAAGGTTTCCCAAGAATTAGTGAGCAATCCAAGGGCAGGACTCAAGTCATGGTTAACTAGACTTAAGGAGTGTGTGTGTAATGGCCTTTAAAGGAGAGAAAGCATGTATAGAGAGTCTTCAGGGAATAGCATTTTGAGGAACTGAAAATTCCTCAGATTTTAAGCTCAGTTTTACTAGAAATTTATTGTTTTATTTTACTCCAAAATAGGATGTGCTTTTTCTGATTGTAAATGTTTTTTATTTAACTTTTTAAATTCTCTATTTGCAAAGAACTATTTAAAAATAACCAGTAACATTGCTCAGCTGTAACTGATCACCATTCCTTGCTTTGAGAAGGATCACACGAGTAGTACTGGAATAGCTTCACAGTCTGGATGGACATGAGACACCATGTAACATAATGATTGAAGAGTCTGTAAAACTATCCAAGTACTGAGTCAGTATCTTATTAGCAATCAGAAGCCCCCGCACTCAGAACAATGAATGCTCTTTTTTTCAAAACCACCAGTTAATTTTCAGCATATAGTGATTCCATTATTGATACATTTTATACATCTTTGCAAAACAGGCAAGACTCATATAGTTTAATAGAAGATTAAGGAATGAGAGTAATGGAAGAAACAATGTGGCCCAATGTGCATTCCATTCAGCAAAATATAAAAATGATTTTATGTTTTGATGTATAAGCTAATGTGTACATGTGCCTTTGGCTTTTATATTTAATTCATTCCTCTATGTAATTAGAAAATGAAATAAAACTATCTCATATGGTAATAGGGGATATGAAAAGATAGCAGTCAGATGGTTTAAATTTTACAGAGTTCAGATTAATCATTAGGAAACAATAATAATTTATGTTAATTATTCAGTGCTTATTTGTACTAGGCACTTATTTTGTGCCAGGCATGGTGGCACATACCTGTACATGAAGACAAAAAGTTAGTGAGAACATATCTCACAAAAGACAAGCCAGACATGGTGACACATGCCTATATTCCCAGCTACTCAGAAGGCAGAGAAAGGAGAATTGTGGTTCAAGGCCTATCTAAGCAAAAAAAGACAGTGACATCTTATCTCAAAGTTGTATTGAGTAGGGGGTAGGGCAGAATAGGAGAGAAAGGACTTTTTTGGAGAAGCCAAAGTAGAATATTCTTTGCCAGTATGCCTGTACTATGAGAAATATTATAAGGAGGTAAAAAATGGTTTAAATATGTGGTAAATACTAACAACTTCTTTAAAATTTTACTTAAAAGATAATTGGTTAAAGTAAAATTAGTACCTGTTTAAGTTCAAAGTATTTGGGGAAATAAAATGTTTTACAACGACAGCACAAAGCATGCGGGGGGGTGGAAATATACTGTAGAGGCCTAAACTACACATGAAGTGCTACAATATCATTTGATGCTAATCTGAGATAGCTAAAGATGTGTGTTGGAACCTCTAGAGCAATCATTATTTAAACAAAACAAAACAAAACAAAAACCAAGAGGCGCCAGAATTTTGACTCAGTGGTAAGCACTTGCCCTGCACATACAGGCCCTGGTTCAATCTCAGCACTGAAAATCCAAGAGGTACAGTTATATAGTCTAGACTGGAGATAAAATGAAACAGACTAATCAATCCTAAAAAAGGTAAGAAGGAAAAGAGGAACAAATGACAATGTGGACAAACAGGACGCCAATGGCAGATGGTAGAATTAAACCCAAGACTTCTAAATTTCCTTAAGTCAAAGACAAAAGCACAAGGAAAGCTAGACAGTATTTGAGCTGCTTGATAACAAAGCATGTTAAAATGTGGAGTAGCTGAAACAGTGCTTAAAGGAAAAATCCATAGCTTCCAGTATTTACATTAGAATACAAAACAGGCCCAGAGGGCTTCACTGGTGAATTTTAAGCGACATGTCAAGAACAATAATACCAATTCCACATAAAATTGCAAAAAAACAGAGGAGGAAATACTCCTAATCTCATCTTTTAAGGGCAGCATTACCCTAATACCAAAATAAGGAAAATTCTTTAGAAGAAAACTATGCAACACAGATGCAAAAGTCCTTTGGAAAAAAGAGAAAACTCATGGTCTCATGAGACCAGAGAAAGCATGTAACAAAAGTCATTCTTGATAATATCTCAGCAAGCCAGGAAAAGGAATCTTCTTTAACCAGATAAAGGGAATCTGTGCACAGTTGCACAGAATATCATTCTTAATGACGAAAGACTGAACATCTTTTTCCAAAGATTGAGATCGAGGTAATGATGTCCACTTTGACCATGTTGAATCTATATTCTATTTGATGTCCTAGTCAGAGCATTAAGGGAGGTGAGTGGGAAGGTATTATGGTTTATGCTCCCCATGTGCTGAAGCCTACGTCCTTAGCTGGTGATGCTATTTTGGGAGGTGCTGGAAACTTTAGGAGGTGGGACATGGCTCGAAGAAGTAGGTTACTGGAGCTATGTCCTTGGGGCTTTATCTTGCCCTGGCTACTTCTTGTATCTCTTTCTTTGCTTCCTGGCCACCATGCGAATAGCAGCTGTCAAAGCTCCCACTGCCATGATATTCTGCCTCATTACAGGCCCAAAATCATGGAGCCAAGTGACTGTGGACTAAAACCTCTGAAATCATGAGCCAAGATAAATCTTCCTTCCCCCTTAAGCTGTTTATGTCAGGTATTCTGTCACATTGATGAAAAATCTAGAAGAAATGGACAATGTTCTAGATACATATGACCATTCAAAATTGAACCAAGAGGAGATTAATCACCTGAACAGATCTATAACACATAATGAAATTGAAGCAGCAATCAAGAGTCTCCCAAAAAAGAAAAGTCCAGGACGGATTCTCTGCTGAGTTCTACCAGATCTTTAAAGAAGAACTAATACCAACACCCCTTAAATTTTTCCACAAAATAGAAAGGGAAGGAACACTGCCAAACTCATTCTATAAAGCCAGCATTACACTCATCCCAAAACCAGACAAGAACACAACAAAAAAAGAAAATTACAGGTTTTCAATTACTCTTTAATGAACAGAGATGCAAAATTCCTCAATAAAATGATGGTAAACTAAATTCTACAGCATATCAGAAAGACCATACGCTTCATCCCAGGGACGCAGATCCCACACGCAAATCATGAAATGTAATACAGCACATTAACAGAAGCAAAGACAAAAACCACTTGATCATCTCAATAGATAAAGTCTTCAATAAAATTCAACATCCTTTCATGATGAAACTAGGAATAGAAGGAATGTACCTCAACGTAATAGAGGCTATTTATGACAAACCCATAGCCAATATCATACTTAATGGGGAAAAACTGAAACCATTTCCCCTAAGGTAGAGACAAGGGTCCCCACATTCCCCACTCCTATTCAACATAGTCTTGGAATTCCTACTTAGAGCAATAAGACAGGAAGAAGAAATAAAAGGAATACAAAAAGGTAAGGAACTAGTCAAACTATGCCTATTTGTAGATGACTTGATTTTATACCTAAAAGACCTGAAAGACTCCACCAAAAAACTCCTACAGCTTCAGCAAAGTAGCAGGATATAAAATCAATTTACGAAAATCAGTAGCTTTTCTGTATACCAATAATAAACAGATTGAAAAAGATAGGAAAACAATTCCTTTTACAATAGCCTCAAAAAAAAAAAAGAATCAAATACCTAGGAATAAAGTTAACAAAGAATGTGAATGACCTTTATAAGGAAAACTACACTGTAGAAAGAAATAGAAGACTACAGAAGATGGAAAGATCCCCATGCTCATGGATTGGCAGAATCAACATAGTAAAAATGGCTATACTACCCAAAAGCAATCTACATGTTCAATATACTTCCCATCAAAATCCCAATAACATTCATCACAAAGATTGAAAAATCAACCCTAAAGTTCATCTGGAAGCACAAAAGAGCACGAATAGCCAAGGCAATATTGAGCAAAAGACAGAAATGCTGGAGGTATCACAAGACCCAACTTCAAACTATACTACAGAGCCATAGCAAAAAAAAAAACAGCATGGTACTGGCACAAAAACAGATATGAAGACCAGTGGACCAGAATAGAGGACCCAGGTATGAATCCATGCAGCTATACCCACCTAATTTTTGACAAAGGTGGCAAAAACATAAGATGGAGAAAAGACAGCCTCTTCAACAAATGTTGGTGGGAAACCTGGATATCTGCATGTAGAAAACAGAAACTTGACTCATGTTTGTCACCATGTATAATTATCAACTCAAAGTGGATTAAGGACCTTAATATCAGACCTGAAACTTTGAAGCTAGTACAGGAAAGAGCAGGGAATACACTGGAAGCAATAGGCATAGGCAAACTCTTCCTCAGTAGAACTCAAGTGGCTCAGCAACTAAGAGAAAAGATTGACAAATGGGACTACATGAAATTAAAAACTTCTG